TAATGCGCTTGAGAAAGATATAGATGTGATCGGAGTGTTGGAGTCATCGGAGATCAGTTTTACACCGAAAGAGCGATATGAATAGCGAATTGATATATGTTATCCAGAGGCTGTTTCCCGCCTTATAGAGCCTGCATAATGCAGGTTTCGGCAACTTCCGAAGGCTTGAGCGAGCAGTATTGACGGTTATCGCATTCAACACATCCTCTAGAGAAATGGAACAAATGAGAGAAACGTTTATTACACTGGACAAGGACAACTCCGGTGGGCTCAGTCCCCAGGAGGTGATAGTATTTGGGTATCGATGATAGGAAAGAGATGAAGTTATGTTGCAGATCGTGTCTGGTTTGCGGCGTCTTGACATTGAGATTCCTGATGATATCTATCAAATCCTCGAGTCCGTCGATGCTGATCAATCAGGGGAAGTTGACTACACTGAGTTTGTTGCTGCCGTTATGGATCGGAACAATGTAAGTTTGTACTTTTATGTAGGGAAATATGCGTGTGGTGAAGTACGCCTGTGGATGATGACAATAAGGAAATTATGGGAAGTTCATGTTGATTCTTTTCGAACACTTCCACTCGAAAGTCGTGTATCCACGATGTGGTCAGAGTAGTCGCCATACTTGACACAACAGGATAGCTAGTTTTCGTCGTTTTTTGTTTGGAATCGAAGGAGTGATGATTGCATCGAAGTTATTCGTATATTAACGGAGTTAATGGAGGACTGGGACGTACTCGAGTTCGGAAGGATGGTATTTTGACGGTATATTCTATATTGAATACGATATGCTCAATCTGAGAGTTCTTGTGCATTACTGAACATTCCTAGTATTCATACGCCTCTCCGTTTAGGTTATGCAAAAAGAAGCGGTAGATGCTGCATTCAATTGGTTCGATCAAGACAGCAACGGTAAGATATCTCGAGCTGAGCTGGAGGAAGTAGTGGGAGATGAGGAGGCTAATTGGGCTATTGAAAGGTGACCCCGCTATAGGACCATCTCCTATGATGATAATGTCTTCTAGGTTTGCCAAACTGCCACTCTCGAGACCGTGGTTGGATAAGGACGACTTTATTAGAGTTGTACAAGTGAGTACCGAATTGTCGTCTACAACGCTAAGTATAGTCGCTGAAGTTACCTTCCCCCATGTTGTTTATATTCAGGCTATCGCTATGATAAAGGACGAGTCATCCTCGAGCGAGTCGGAAGTTTCTGATGGCGAAATCAGCAGCGCGTAGGATACATATGCTCACCCTTGGAGTACCATAGTCCTCCTACTCCTCCACTTGGCAGGCCGGAGTATCTTCCCGAACGTGATGAGGATGGTCGAAGGCGACATCGAAAAGAATCTCGAGGAACTATTGGGAGGCGTCGAAGGAGGATCAAACGACGATGCAAAAGGCGCTGTCAAAGTTGGTGTGGTAAGTGGGGATCTCGATGAATACACGGCTCTGAGATTATAAGCTCGGTCATTATTGAGTGATATCCACCATCACCCAGTAAGATATTCGTCTCACTATTCCGTGGTCTTCTTCCATATGAAGGTTCATCCACTATGAGTGCATATCCTACCACAACTACTATTCACTGAAATACGTTTTATGTGTATAACTAGCACACGTAGTATTATTAAAAGCCATCGTTAGTTTATACTGTCTGCATTATAAACTAGGTCGCTTCAGTATATGCAACACAAGCTAAGACTAGATGTATTTATATGATCAGGTCAAACGCTTATAACCCAGAGTGCTCCTACTTCCCCCCATATCCTCACTACCATATCAGCTGAAGCTGCATTGAAACGTAAGTATTTATTATGTCTCTCTTGTTACAACATTGTACATTCCATGGCAAGAAATCACAACAGGATAGTAAGTGATGGACATTCTCGAGTGCTCAATGTATGATGATACTCAAACGGATTCGTTACATCGATATCACACTTATGTATGAGGCTTGATCATTCATTAATCATAGTTCTCTCTTTGTTGGTAGTTAACCGGTATTACAGATTACGGTTTTTTTTAAACGTTGTCAATACTACTCGTAAACGCCATTCATAACTACTATTTATCGGTATATCATGGAATACTACTTTCCTAGGACTTCAAGAAGGTGGTCGACCAGGAACACCAGCAGTAACAAATCTGTCGCGGGGGATCTCCCTGAACCTTTCTAAGGATTCTAATATGCTTGAGCCACTTGTGGAGCATGTCGAGAGGGTAGGGAATGACAATCTTGATGAATCTTACCATTACTCAGCAGCAGCACCTATCGCAACCGTCCATGACTCGATGGTCGTCTGATGATACTTTCTCGGTCACCGAATCTGAGGGTAGTTTGTCTCCTACCTCTCCTAGGTTGAGATTGAAGGATTTCAAAGTGAGAAAGAATTTAATGCCGGCTATTGTCCACGTTAGCATTTCAGTCTGCGAAAAAGCCAGCGTTTTTGCAGAGTCCTTCAAGAGAAGGTGAATACATGGAGAGGTCGAGTATTGGAGGCTTGGTTGCTGTCAGGACCTGGGAAAAGCTTGGAGGCTACAACCCAACAACAACAAGAAGAAGAAGAAGGAATGTCCCCTAGGAGGTCGAGTCAGTATCTAATACCGCCTCACCATAAGGTAAGCTATCGAGTAGTAGCCGCTCATGTAAGTGATTGATAACTCGTATAATACAACTACTGTGAAATGATTTTCCTAATGGGAATGGGTTCATATTGGAGTGGTGTCACAAGAGTAATGAACCGTAGTCATTGCTGAGTTGGATTTAAAATAACACATCACATGAAGAATGCCGAATAGCGTACAATGCAACTACTATTCCACAGTACAATGCTCAATTGTATATTACATGGTGTAAATCATCGACTACTATGTGTTCTATCTCCAATCGGGCCGTGAATCTATTCTTGTTATCGTATTAGGTTGAGCGGCAACATACGAACTCTTCATGTTCCGAGCAATCCTCAAATTCAGAGTTATGGGAGAGTCTCGAGTCCCTTCCTAAGTTGCAGATCCCCTCAGCGTTACCTTCGTTACCAACCAGGCGACGACAGCACTAAATCGGGACCAAGTCTCGTTATGTTTTTTAATTGTCTTCTTGCAGTACCATTATTCACACTTGCAGTAGTAGATTATTATTACCATTACCTTTATGCCATATCGCTTAGTAGTAGTAGTAGGAGGACCGGGCAATGAGCCATTTTGTATAGTCCATGTTAGGCGATGTTGGCGCTATTACTTATTGCACCGCGTGATGACGATAGATGATCTTTTCTCGAGATGCTACTACTACTACCTAGGCCAGTACCCTAATTATCTCACGTTCTATTCATCAGCGCCGTTTATCTACTGTAACTGTTTTACTCTTGTGTTGTTAGTTGAGGCCTTCCTCAATCTTTGACTTCTGGACCTGGCATTGTTCAAATGACTATCCCGTCTATCATTTATCCTGCTAGTTGTAGCGAACTAATATAGATAGTGGAGTCCACTAAGTGGACTCTATAGGGGAATATGATATACTCATGTCAACAGCGGAGAACATGAAGAGATGTGGGGTTAGTCTCGGGCAAGTACGAGTTGATCGATCTTCAACAACTGGGCAGATTATCTAGAGCTTGTTCGTTTATCTGGCGATGTCTTTCCGTGAAGTCCGTGAGTTTGTCGAGTGTCTACGCAGTCTAGGCTTCCATCGAGTGGTCTCCATATCTAACTTCAAGGAACCTAACTTCGAACTGACTGCCGAAATCATGGATTGGCTCGTTACACGGTCGGTGTACGTGACCCAATTCCTTAACCGTACCATCTCAGGCTGAACCCCGACGTGAATCTACCAGAGGACATTGATACCGACACCCATAGAGTCGAGTTCATAGCACAGGCGATTGAGGTCAGACGTGCACTGCTTTCGTCATCTCTCAACGAGTCCCTATAGGCTGTGGGAACTTGTACGAATATCAGGATGAATGCTCGTAAGCTTTATGGTGCTGATAACTACGCTGTTAAGGAAATGCTCAAAGTGAGGCTATCACGATTGAAGTGACCATTACCATTAGAGTCCAGGTGGCAAGGTTCCTCTATCAAGCTTGTCGACTAGGTAGGCATGAGGTGTATGGCCGATCGAAACATGAGGTGAACTCTGGTCTTGTTGTTGTTGATCCAACACTTCCGATAGTATTCGATCTATCTCATATATCCTTGAAATTACATTGTAACATGGTCACATAATCAGGGGCCTCATCACGTCGTGGTTTTCTGCATATGATGATGGTCGTCGCCTATAGTCTCTCAGGTCAAGGTCCTGGAGGCTAGAGCAGTTGGCAACGGCTTCAATGAAGATCTTAGACCGATGAGCTCCTTGTCAAGTGAGATACTCGAAGCAGGTATGCTCGTGGGCTGAGGCTCTATAACATGACGGCTCATTCGAACACCATACTTTGTAGGTGCTAAGTTACACGCATTGTTGCAGGTTGAGGCAATGCCCGATACAGAGAGGGCTTATGGGGTCATCAATGCTGGGCTATAGGCAACTGATCATAATCACGCTTGTGCAGGTTCGTCGGGCTCGACAAAAAGCAGTTAAATTCCTAGAGGGCATCAGCAGGAATCTCAGTTCGGATCGGGAACGGAGCAACGTCGAACGTCAGGTTAGCAGCTGTTTGGAGTGTCCATCCAGCATTCTTCATGCTCACCAGCTTACATCGCTCCTAACTGGTCAATCACAGTCTACTGAACGTCTTACGCAGATGTGTATAGACCTTGGGGAGGATAAGCAAGGACTAGAAGAAGAGGCAAGGCATCTCTTATTGTCAATTCAAGTTGGTCTGTTCAGGTTAAGAAGAGGCGAGCAGAGCTAGAACGTACCAGCAAAAGGCTCGCGGTAAGGGAGAATGCTCAGGGTTGCATGCTTTCGGCTCTGGCACAAAGGGCATCCCATATGCCGGGGCATTGGCAGCACGCTCTGCGATACTCATAGTTATCCTATCATAGTGTACATAGTCACTTGCTATAAGCCAGTGGGTGGTATGACAATAAGTGATGTTATCATCATCATCAGGGACTGAGGACAGTGAGACCAGCGTTCATGGATGAGTATGAGGAACTGCAGGAGTTCATGGATCAGTAGCGGATCGACGCTGAATGACCATTAGAAAGCTCTCACAGACTTTACGAGGCTTATGTGGACCGTTTCCGAAACCTAGACTACCTCGAACACGAGTTGGATATACTTAATAGAGAGGAAGAAGAACGTATAGAGGCCAATGAGAAGAAGCTAAGGGCACTACAAAAGAAACTACGCGAAGAGGTGCTGGTCGACACCATTGTATTCAGTGTTCAGCAGCATATCGACTCAGGAATGGAAACTATTAAGAGGGGATATGGACGATAGTGGGACGGTTGGTATTCCGCACGTTACAGAATACTCGAGGTGCTTCAACCCTTACATGAATGCGTCTGCGTGTTGTCTCCTTACAGTCTCCTTAACTGACTCGGACTTGGGGGGAAGCTAGGATGCTTTACTTATCAGGCCCAAGTCCCGAGATAGGAACTCTCGGGAAGGGAGTCGAAGATGGTCACGGCCTCACCCACAGGATGATCGACCGTCTCAGGGCTTCCGACAAATGGAAGAAAACGAGTAGCCTTACAGTGCGCCGTATGAATTTCACGGCGCGCGAAATGTCGGAGAGGAGGGTCCTTCACTACATTTGTGTTCATTATCAGGTTCGGTCCTCCAGCAAGTAATACTGATCTTGGTGTTAACGACTTTGACGAGCCACAGTTGGTCGATTCACGCTCGGATGGTATCGTATCGATCGGATCGGAACCAGAGGAAGGCCTCGTGAGGTCGTTTCAAACCAATGTACCAATGTCACTTATCATTGTAGGTGGGATCAACTTCTACACCCGACCTAAGTATCACTGATCACCCTCATCACGAGGATGACGAGGATGACGATATCATTGTAGAGAGTGATGGGGAAGCTATACTTAGCAGCAGAGGCAAGCCTCTCGTGGTGTTGTGCTGTCTATCTATCGTATAGGTGATGGATCCTCCTCTGGGGATGATATTGAGATCATTGATGATAGCGATACTGAGGGTCGGACTATTGGTATGCAGCAACAAGTAAGATCGAATGATTCGGCACCATTGGTGAGCCCTCTGGTAGAGGTCGTCATCCCATAATAACAACTACGATTTTTGATAAGCATGTCTCACCCACCGTCATGTCCATGCTTCTACTGCTGAACTACTATCCAATGTTGCGTTTCATGAGTGCAAATCACTCCGCTTTGCTCACACACCTCTACTGTAGTCTTTTCCACGGACCCTCTTCCTATCATGCAGGCTGATAAGCTCTTTGCCATCTTTGAAGAGTAAGGTCCTTCCTGTGTGACGACCGCACAGCATTCGTGCAGCAGGTATTTCAATCATGAGTCGAACCCAGGATCTAGCCTAGTCGACAAGGTTAATGCAACCTACACCTTCGAGATTTACCCTCACAAGGTGGGATCGGGAGAGTCGAAGAAGTGGACCATCGACTTGAAAACCAAACCTGGTAAATGCATAGCTGCTCAGGAGGTGAGGAGCCTCGATTACTTTGTTGAATTTATACTCTTCCTCAACAGGATGGTGGCGACTGCACATTTCAACTCTCGGACAAAGACTTCGTACAATTAGCGGCTAACAAGTTGAATCCCCAAATGGCGTTCATGACGGGGAAGTTGAAGATCAAAGGGAATCTGGGCAAGGCTATGAAGTTCACACCTGATGTAAGCTGGTCCACGGCCCCTCTCAGTTCGATGACTATGTACGTTGATGACAACGAGAGAACTTCGTGGGGAATTTCCGGATGCTGGGGCTTTCGCATCTTGTCACTCTGAGGCGTCGTGAATTCCCATGATGTAGTGGGGAAACTCTTCAAGCTCAGCTGAGGAAACCAGACATTGTCTCTGAGACATATATTCCAACATTCCCTCAGTGTAGCATATGCCTCTCCTGATTAGCTCCTACCCAAGGTAGACATCAAGCTCGCTTTGGATGCCTCCAAGAGTCCTAAGGACATCGTTGCTCTCGTACTCAGCAGTTCACCTCAGTCGAAGCTCTAAATAAGGATATCAGTCTTTTTATTATACATGATGGTACATCTAGTGGGTTTTCATCAGCAGGAGCTTATGACTTGTTCGAGTTGTCAATATCGTGCTCAGTATAAGAGGAATCCAGCTTACTGTAACATGACCATCGACAAGCGAACACGCGTTGTTTGATGGCACAGATAGTGATATCGTTGCAGTGAATAGATCCAGAGATACCTGGAACGATAGAGTACTGGTGTGTACAACGAACCATCAATTTCCCCCATAAATATGACGACAGAATCGTCTTCTTCGTTTGGGCGGTTATAGCGCGTATTCGTTCCCATTTGCCTTGTGGGAGTTGGTCTTTTCGGTGACATCGAGTTTGCTTTGCATCACATGATAGCTATCGGGAAGTAGTCCATTTGGCTGATAGTATCGATTTTCGTCAACTTGATATTATGAAAGTTTGGAAACATTAAAACACGACAAGCGCCATTCAGAGTGATACATCGCTCTCTGCATACCATGGTGACGGCAGCTCCTACCCGATAATGAGGAAAACTCACTAAGCTGTGTATGAGCAAAGACGTGCACAAACCCACTCCGTCATACTAAAACAAGAAGCTATGAGTGAAGACACGATTGAAAGTCATCGATCCTAGTCGTAGCCCTATTCATGGACCCAGCTCCTCAGTTCATATAGGGGAAGAAGCTTAGCACTCGATAGTAGACATGACTGGAAAGGATCATACGCTTGATCAAGAAATGAAATCCCCCACGCCCATCAGTTTGGACATCAAGACATTGAGAGCTCCGAGGCAAGCTCAGCTGAGTAGAGATCCTATTCAGACGGCTGTCAAATGCAGCCATGGTTCGAGGGGACTCGAAAATGATGATGATACCCCCTGGGCAAAAACAGACGAGTTTGCCTTCAAAGGGATACTCTTGTTCAAGCTTTTTTCGAACATGATAGGTACGGTAGATCTGGTCATCACCAATCTGACCGAATGACAGAAGCCATCGTCGACGTAGATAACATCTAGAGTAGGTGGTGATGCTGCCACTGGCAGGAGGTGAAGTGGACCGTCATGTTTCCCATCATTATACCACACCACAGACACTCTACCCTCTGGATCAACATACAGGACTTCGAGGGAGTATCCAGCGTTGCCACTGCTTGCTCTCAATTTTACTCCAAGAAAAATCGATTCACCAACAACAGCCATCGTGCTGGGGGAAATCCTGAGGCCAGACAGAGCGTCCAGATGACGAGTCTCATGAACTCGTCCTGCCTTCACATCGTAGTCGATGAGTAAAACATCGGGCATCGATGACCCAATCCTATGATCATGCAGTACATAGAGATGGCCTCTTTCGGTATCGTAGTAGTAGGTGGTGGTATTGCAATAG